ATCAAGAAGCATCCATGTGTGAAGCGCTACACTTCCTACTAGTGTGAGTGTGGAAAGCACAAGTTTGGAGAGCCCAAATCACCAAGGTTGTATCAAGAAGCATCCATGTGTGAAGTGCTACACTACCTACTAGTGTGAGTGTGAAAAGCACAAGTTTGGAGAACCCAAATCACCAAGATTGTATCAAGAAGCATCTAGGAAAGAATCGGAGTACTACCTCCTAGTGCATAAGTGAAAGAGAAGAGTTTGAGTAGCCCATGGAAGAGAGAAGGTGAAGTAAGAGAAGATGGAGGAGACGGGGAGGGAGATGAGGGAGATGGAGATGGAGAAGAAGGGGAGGAAGACAAGAAGAATGAAAGTGAAGAGGAGGAAGGAGGAGATGAAGAGGGGAGAGAAGAGCAGGAAGAAGGAGGGAGTGAGGAGGAAGAAGAGGAAGAAGAAGGAGGAGAGGAAGAAGGAGAAGAAGAGGAAGAAGAAGAAGAGGAAGAAGAAAAAGAAGAAGAAGAAGAAGAGGAAGAAGAAGAAGAAGAAGAAGATGGAGTTGAAGAAGTCTCTTCCTTCCTCTCACCTTGTTGATTCCTTGGTGTTGGTGTCCTCTTGATGAAGCTTCCTCTCCTTGCACAATCCCCCCCTTTGGCTATGGCTTCCTTCTTCTCCAAGCCCTTCTCTCCTCCTTCCTTGCTCTCCCTCAGGCTATGGCTAGCTCCCCCAGCTATGGCTATGGAGTCCTCCCCTCTAGGAGGGCTAATGGGGCTCCTCTAGCCTCTCCTTCTCTCCTACACCCAGGAGGAATATGGCGGATCACCTCCCAAGTGTCTCTCCCACCATCACTATCCTCTAGAGTCCTCCCCACTACCTCCTAGTCTCCTCTAAGCTCTCCCACTAGCATGGGCTCCTCCCTCCTCACTCCAAGTGCAAAGATGCTCCTGTGAGCTCACTTGGGCAGCATGGGCACTCCTCATGCAAATGTGAGAGTGGCGGACTGCATCCTCAGCTTATGTAGGCTAAAACCAGCAGTCCGGCCAGCCCATGAGCCTCCCCATGAGCCTTGAGGTGAACCGAGGTACCCCCAAGGCAAAATTCCCTCACTAGGCCCTCCTGGAGGTACCCGAGCCTCATTTTGGCCAAGTACATGCAGTCCGAGTGGTTGGTACCAACTCGGACTGCCTCTTGGCCTACTCCGGCCCTCTTTTTGCCTCACAAATGCTGCCCCCTTGGGTCCTAGTGCCCAAGGCGCATTTTTACTCGAAAGGAAAAGGCCTTGTGGTCCTTTTTCTTGATTTTTTCAAGTTTTGGCCTCTTTTGAGTAGGCCGGAGCATTTTTCCATATGGCGGCACATTTTCAGCCTTGGATCTGGCTGAGATCCAAGGCCAGCAATAATCCGAGCTACCCCCTAGTAGCCCTTGCTTCAATTTTGAGCCCCTGAATCCAGTTTTTCAATTTTTGGTGCACCTGGCTCTCTTTTTGGGCCAAATGCACTGTTTTGTCATTTTCCCTCTTTTGTTTCTTTCCATTTTGGGCTGCCACCTCATACCGGAGCTAGCCGTTTTGAGTTGGCCCACAAAAAACGGCTAGTTCCTCTCTTCCATGAGATCTGATCTCAGATCCATGGCCCAAAAGAAAACCGGCCACTTCCTTTTGCATTTTCTCTTATTTTCAGCTTTTTAATTTAGATTTTATTGAGATATGGCCCTAAGGGCCATATCTCTGCAATCCGGATTGCCCTCCCTCATTCTAGGAGGGATGAGGTCACCGTTGGGACCTGCCAGTCCCTACTGTGCAGGTCCCAATAGGCCGACGCACTGTCCTCCACTCTTTTCTCCCCTTTTGTCTCATTCTCCCTCCCTTTCCTCCCATTTTTCTTTCTTTTTCTTTTATTTCTGTTGTGACAAGTGTCAAACTGTTGTGTACCCTCTTTCTAGGCCCTAGGGCCTCATTTAAGGCCAGGTTCGTGGCTGTTACTTGACCGTTACATCTCGGATTCCAATAATGGCACCCCCATGCTCCTAGGGGGCTCCATTTTGCTCCCGTTTGCCCAATTTTAAGCCCCTTTTGCTTTGATTTTCTAAGGGCAGCCTTTTTCTCATGTTGAGCTTCTCAAGGCCCTATTTTCTTATGCCTTGCTAGTCCGAGATATCCCGGATTGCTGGGCAGCCTTCCCAACATCCTTATTTCACTTTTCTTTCTCCCATGGCTCTCCCACTTGCTCCCACTAGTGCTTGCACTAGTGGTGCTAATATTTTCCACCGTCTAGATCCTCGATCTCGATGGTGCCGTTTGCTTGCACAATTATTCCTTGTGTTTGCTCATGGTTCCCTTGGGACATCCCAAGTCCCCGCCATTTTCCTACATGCTAGCTGCATTTCTTTGTCCCGCCGACGCGTGTCCCGTTTTTCAAAAGGAGACGAACTGGGCCTGATCCAACCTTTTTCGAGGAGCTCGTCTGATTGCCTGCGAAGCTCCTCTAACTCTCTAGGGGACATCCTGTAGACTGCACCCTTTGGAGTTTTGCTGCCAGGCTCTATCTCTATCCTGTGCTGGATGGGTCGCGACACTACTGTCGGCGACTCAGTCAAATCTTTGAACTCTTCCAACAGCTTGGCTATGCTTGGATCTGTAGAACTGTCTACTTTCTGGGCCTCAGTGACAGGTCTAATAAACTACAAAGACCTGTTATTCTAACCGCTCCTTCTTTACTAACCGCGCGAATGCGGGAGCACTGAGACAGCAATGTGCCAAGGTGTTGTCTACACCTGACACATGAAACGGACGGGCAATCTTAACCTCGCCTGACGGGCTAGGGAGCCTGCACTCATGCTCTCTCAAATGGAGTGTGGTCCCTGCTGCCTCTCCCCAATCCATTCCTAGGACTACATCAAAAGGAAGGTTATCCTGTATGAGGAGAGTTAGGGAATGGAGAACTTTCTCCACCTTACTATCTTTCTCTAGGCGAAAGTACGCCTGGACTCCCTCTACATAGTCCTCAACTCGCATCGTGCGGTTGTCTGCGAGGACACTGACTATGGGGTCTACTAATTTCTGGACTTTTAGTCCTAGCTTCAGCTTCTTCAGCGCCCTACGGCTAATATAACTGCGGGTGGCCCCTGAATCTATAAGGGCCCCTATTCTACTCCCGAAAACTTCTACATCTACCAAGATCAGTTGTCCTTTACTCTCTTTCTTCATCTTGGCCCAGTCTGGCATTCTCTCTTTTAACTCTTCTGCCACACCTGTGAGGGACGTGCCTAAAGAGACGCTAATATAGGCAGTCTCTGGACAGCTAGCTAGGCACGGGCCTGCAACCTCTGCCATAGGCTCATGTGGGTTGGGAGTGTCCTGTTCGCGCGCGCTCGCTTCTCCACATGGCCTTGAAGTAGGGGCAGTTGCGACCCCTACTGGCGGCTGCCTTTTGACTACTGGGCATCCCAGCGGGCCTGTCTATACTTCGGACAAAATTTTATTACGTGAGCTGAGTGACCACAAAACACGCACTGACCCAAGTTCACGCGTTCCTGCCATAACCCCTGGTCCAAGCCCAAGTCTTCCCAGGGCCTGCCCTGTGGCAAGCCTGGGTGCCAACCTCCTTGAGGTGCCCTTCCACCTCTTCGCTGTGGGGACCGATTACCTTGGCGATTTGGCGGGGGACCTCGACCCCTACCTCCTGCTTGGCGGTTTCCTTAGCCGCCAACCCCCTGCGCGCCCGGTCCTCGACCTCCCATGGCCTGGCCCCTTTGGCCCTGGCCTCCTCCTCTACCTTGCGGCCTCCCTCCAGCCGCGACAGCGGCATAAGACCTCCCCTGTCCTACACTACTGTCCTCTTCCTCTAGGCCCCACTCAATCTGAGTATATGGGACCTCATCAGTACCACCTTCCTCTAACGTCAGGATCATGTGATCCTTGGCCTTCACTTGGCCAGAGATGGTACGTCCTTTCCACCCTTTCCCTTTTTCCAGGTCCTTATGCCAGAAGGTGGAAACTGGCATGGACTTTGACTCGAACAGGACCACTTCCCTACTCAATGCATCATAGGTGATGCCGGCCTGTTCAGTCTTATCAAAGAAGTGCCCCCTCAGGGGCTCTGGCATGGCACGATAAAACAATTGGACCAGTTGGGTCTCAGTGACCCCATGGTCTGGGACGGCCTCCAGGTCGTCCATGGTTCCCTTGAGTGCCCTTGCACTCCTCCACTGTCGTGAGTGGATTGTTTGTAGCTTGGCAGAGGCACGAATGCCTCTCGTTGGGTCTGCAAATCGCTCCTTCAGGAGCTTGAGGAATTGAGGAAGGGGGGTAACTTTAGAGTAAGCAACCAGGTTGTTTTCACAACCGGCTGCGCGCGCAAGAGACCTGGCGAAACTAGCCGCTTCATCTTTGAGGGCGTGGAAGGCCACGAGGACTTGCTCCTCCGACAAGATATGCTGTAAATATATATAACTGTTGACACTGGCTTCCCAGTTGTCGAAGTTTTCCTACTTCTTCCCTCCATAAGCATCCGGGAATTTGAGCTTGACTAGGTCCTTGCGAGGTCTGGCCTCGCCCTCTACAGCGGCTATGGCTTTGGCACCTTCAATGGCGCCTTCACAGTACTTCCCTACATTATCCCTCAGTTGCCGGACTTCGCCCCCAATGTGGGTGACGATCTCACGCGAAACTCTCTAAAACCTGACCGCATGGCTTTCAGGGTGATATCTTGGCCCTGATTGGCGTGCCGTTCCTCTAGCCAGGCCTCACTCAACACCTCTAAATATCCCAATATCTTCTCCATCTTGGCAGAAACATCTGTCTGCGCTTGGACTTCCTGTCTACACGCCCGCACCTTTTCCACCTCTGCGGTCAACCGGTTGGCTTCCTCCCTTCTCCTCTTCTGCTCCCTTTTCATCCTCAGTTTCCATTCCTGTCTGACAGGGGTTCGGGTCAACAAGGCCCTCAACACTTAGACTGCCTGTTGTTTCAGCCCACAACTCAGTCTTTCAGGCCCACTGTACCATACCAACCGTGTCCAGCCGGTCAGCACCGGTCCTTGGGAGGGTTATGCCCCCCTGGACAGTTGGATCTGCCACAGTCTCAGCCCTACTAGATCCGGTAGGGGTTTCGTTATCTAGGCCCTATCCTTCATCCACAGAGTACTATCACTTAGGACAGAAGAGACTCAATGCAGAAAGAATAGACAGACTGACTTGACTCAGCAAGTACCAAGGTGTGTGTGCACATCCATAGGGTAAGGGATAGGCTGAGGGCTTGGCGAGATGTTACCACTCCAACTTGGTCAAAGTCTTGGTCAACGCTTTGGTCAATGCTGCTATAGCCTCCGGTCAACTCCAGTAATCGCCGGTCAACCCTCTTGGTCAACCCCCCGGTCAGCTATGGCTGCCGGCTCTCTTCTTCGCCAACCCTCTTCTTCTTCTTCACCTTCCTCGCCTCCTTTCACCCCGCTGTCTTCTTCTTCTCTTTCTTTATTTTTTTCCCCTCCTTCTTCTTCCTCCCTTTGGCTATGGCCGCTTTCTCTCTCTTCTCGGTCTCTCCCCCTCTGTCCGGTTTCTCCCTCCTCGGTACTCCGTGGTAATACCCCGCGGCTATGGCCGCTTTCTTTCTCCTTCACGTGGACTGCACAGCTCGCTTCACAGGTAAGTGACAACCAAACTTGTATCGCTCATTTCTCTCTCTCTCTCTCCGCAACAATATCATCAGCGCAGCAGGTACGTAGTAATGCAATCTTGTATCGCTCGACCTTTCCTCTCTCTCTCTCTCTCTCTCTCTCTCTCTCTCTCTCTCTCTCTCTCTCTCTCTCGGTCTTCTTCTTCGTCGTGATCTTCTTGCAGGTGCCCAGCGGCTTCTTCAACCTCAGGTCCGCTATGGCGGACTGTCACCTTCGGCGGCCACCTCGGCTATGGTGTATCAGGCCTTGCACACGACGGCGCGCATGGAATAGCGGGTACCAGCTCCGATACCAATGCAATCAGACTCGTTTTCAAACACACTTTTCATGCATGTAAACAGCATCAGAGCAAACTGGCGACAAGCGCCGACTCAATACTCAGAGATATGGCTTCCAGATAAGAGTTCACTTTCAACTGGCTATGGCGACTCAGCGCCCAATCAACTCACTGTTCACATACACTGGATCACCCTGGATATCCCACACACGTCACTCTGAACACTCACACATACACACACACTCCTCCCACTAACTACAGCTATGGCAGCTATGGCTGCCTCTACCCTATCGCTATGCTAACTCCTCCTCTCTCACCCACTGCGTCCTCCGGGCTCACTGCAGACCTCCTTGCACAAGTCGTTGTGGCAGCGCTTCCGCATGGCTCACGCAGGAATGAATCAATGGCTGGGCGCTGCCTCTTGCTTTATACGTCTGCAGGTCGTTGGTCTGGCCCATTTCCCTTGCCCGAAGTGCACACAGTCCCATGCGGTACTTGCTTGACTGACTGGGGACTGGGACTGTTGACTCAGCAGGCTAGACTTCCCCCACTTGCCCACTTGCCTCACCACTTGACCACTTGCCTCTGCTTAAACGTGGGCAACTCACGAAAGGCCACTATTGGGACCTTCCGGAAGGCCGTAGACTTGGCCTTTCGTGACYGTAGCAGCTACGACTCTGACCCTTCTGGACTGTAGCAGCTACAATCTTGACCTTTCGAGATTACTACAGCTACGATGTCTAGACCTAACTAAGACTCCTATCCGACAGGTCTACAGCTCGAACCCATGCTACCTATGGACCCTACGACAACCTATCAGCTATTACAAATACACAGGTTGCGGGTTCAATTCTACAGGTCGACACAGGTACTGTACATAGGTAAGGTTGGGGTCTAGGGATCGAACCTTGGGATCTGCAGAAGCTACTGCTAACTGGTGAATACGGTTTCATTAGTAAAGCACAACATCAGATGATAGAACAGCCTAATAAGCATCGCAGGGCCTCGCAAGTTGCTGTAGCAGACCTAGTCTGGGTAAAGTCGAAAGAGTTTCTTCCTGAGGAAAACATATCGCAAAAATTATTGCCTGCTCATAGGGGACCATGACAGATTCTGCGGCGTCCATAGCCGCCATAGCTGTAGCTTAAGGGGAAGAGTGTGTGTACTGTGTGTGTGTACTGGGTATCGCGTGTGGGACATCCAGGGTGATCCAGAGTGTGAACAGTGAGTGTTTGAGGCGCACAGTCGCCATAGCCAGTGGAAGCGAACTTACCTGGAAGACATATCTCTGTGTACTGTGTGGGCGCAAGTCGCCAGTTGTGTGCTGCTGTTCACATGCATGAAAAGTGTGAATAAGTCGAGTCTGATTGCACTAGTATCGGAGCAGGTACCCGCTGTTCCACGGGCGCCGTCGTGTGCAGGGCCGATGCGCCATAGCTGAGGTGGGGACCGTAAGGAGGCAGTCCGCCATAGCGGACCTCGAGGGGGAAGAAGCCGCGGCGCACCTGCACCGAGAGGACCACAACGAAGAAGAAGACCGAGAGAGAGAGAGAGAGAGAGAGAGATGAGAGGTACAAGATTGGGTTCTTACCTGCCGCGCTGAAGATACCGCTACGGCGGGAGAGAGAGAGAGAGAGAGAGCGAGATGAGTGATCCAAGATTGGTTGTCACTTACCTGTGAGGCGAGTTGTGTGGTCCGGTGGAGAAGGAAGAGAGCGGCCATAGCCGTGGAGTATCGACACAGGGTGCTGAAGGAGAGAGACAGGGAGGACAGAGAAGGAGGGACTAAGGAGAGAGAGAAAGAGAAGTTTGGAAGGAGGACGTTGGAGAAGAAGACAGACATAGCCGAGGGGTGAACGAAAAAATATATATATATATATAGAGAGAGAGAGAGGAAGTGAAGAAGAAGCAGAGTGAAGGAAGGGGAAGTAAACGGCGAGGGTGATGAAGGTGAAGGTGCCGGCAACCATAGCCGAGGTGAAGGGTTGACCGGGCGTTGACCAGAGCGTTGACCAGAGGGTTGACCAAGGGCTGACCAGGCGTTGACCGAGGGTGTTGACCAAGCGTTGACTGGGGGTTGCCTGCGTTGACTCGGCGTTGACCAAGGCGTTGACCGGAGCTGCTGACCAAGATTTTGACCGAGCTGGAGCTGGTGATATCTCGCTGAGCCCTTAGCCTATCCCCTCACCCTGTGGATGTGCACACACCCTACGGTACTTGCTGAGATGAGTCTGTCTGTCTTTCCTTTCTGCATTGAGTCTCTTTTGTCCTAGGTGTTAGGACTCTGTGGATGAAGGATAGGGCCTTGCTGCCAAACCTGCACGGGACTTAGTAGGACTAATCTCTACTCTGGCATCTGGAGACCTGGGCATGAGCGGCGAGCGCTCGTTAAACAACTCGTCTAGCCCAATGACCGATACTATCCGGCAGGTCTACTGAGTTCAGTATAGAGGGTTCGAACTTCGAGCTGTAGGCTGAAACGAAGGCCGTCTTTAAGTGTTGAGGCCTGGTTGAACCACTCCCCTACCAGACCTAGTAAGGCTGATGATCTGTGTCTGACGGCTCGACTGTCCCGAGGGATACGAACCCCTCCAAGGACCGGTACAGACCGGCGGGCTGCTCGGTGTGGCACAGTAGGCCGGAACGGCTGAGTTGTGGGCTGAAATCGTTAGGAAGAACTACGCTGATCACGTCGTCCTAACTGCGACATTAAGAATTCTTGCGGAGTTTGGGGTATCTCCTTAAATGCCTCCTGATCAGCTGTTAGTTCAGTAGTGAAAGCCTTAGAGTAGTTGTGAGTAGTGGATCTTAGAGAGTCAGTCAGTAGGTCAGTGTGTCCGGGTAGGTCTAAGTGGTGAGGAGTGGGACATTGTCGTGCACCTGACGCCACGATGGATGACTATCCGATGTATGGGTTGCTGGTTGGGTTCTCTCTCTGGGGGACCCTCTGGCGTCTCCTCTTTCCTCTGGGGTTCTGGCACACCTTTACGTGTAGAGTAGATACCCGGGGTGGTGCCTCCACCAAGCCATACACCAAGGAGGAGGGGGAGAAGATGGCCGCCATTCTGCAGGAGAGGAAGGAAAAGAAGGAGGCCAAGAAGAAGGCCTTGAAGGAGGAGCAGGCGGCCAAATTGAAGAAGATAGAAGAAGAGATGGCCAGAGAGAAGGAGAGGATACAGAGAGAAGAAGAATAGAAGTTGAAAGAGGTGGAAGAGGAGGAAGAAGATGAAACGCCACTGCAGAGGAAGAAGGGGCAGTACAGTGGCAGTAGGGACGAGGAGATGGAGAAGCGGATCTCGGAGTGGGTCGCCAACTTATCCCTGGGCGAAGAAGAAGAGGTGGCGATGTATATCTCTAAGGACGATCAGGAAGCCGCTATGAGAGTCTGGGAAGCAGAAAAAGATGTCGTAAAGCGGCAGGCGTTGGAAGACGAAAAGAGGATGGAGTGGAAATTGGTCGTGATGAGGGAGAAGAAGAGGAGAATAGACGCGGCAGCGGAGGCGGCAAAAAAACTGGAGGAGGTACAAAAGATAGAAGAGCAATTATCCGCCCAGACGGAACTCCCAAAGCAAATGCAGGTCATAGCTCGAAACGTTGCACGCCTGACACGAATTCAGGCGGAGCAATATGACTTTAGTAGGAGTCAACACATAGCTGTGCGTTCAATAAAGTTGGGATTCCGGGACGTTGCTCGTGAGTTGGTAGGCGCTATAGGCACCGAGGTGGGGCATCGCCTCGAGAAGATTGAGTGGTTCTGTGCCGGCGCCATTGAAGGCGTTAAAGCGGCAGCTCCCAAGGAGGAGGAAGCACGTCCTCCTCGCCAGGAGCCGGTCAAAGTCAAATTCCCTGATTCCTACAGTGGAAAACGGGAAGAAAACTTTGACAATTGGGAGGCCAATGTCAAGACCTATGTGCATCTGCAACAGGTCTCCCCAGATCAGCAGGTCCTAATTGTGATCCACGCGCTTAGAGATGAGGCCGCCAGCTTTGCAAGGTCCCTAGTTCGCGCTGCCAACTGTAGTGACGATCCAGTTGCGTACTCCTCGTTCACGTCCCTCACTGAATTCTTGAAGCTGCTGCGCGAGCGATTTTTTGTCGCTCGCAGTCTTAAGGCCTCAGATAAGCTCCTGACGATCCATGCCCGTAAGTGGAAGAGTGCCAGGGCACTCAAGAGCACAATGGACGAATTGGTAGCTGTCCCTGACCATGGGGTTACAGACACCCAGTTGGTCGCCCTCTTCTATAGAGCGATGCCCGAAGCTTTCGCGGGCACTTCTTCGCGAAGAGCGAAGACCCTGCCACCACTTACGATTCCCTCAGCCGTGAAGTGGTGGCCTTTGAGGCAAAATCTGTGTCAGTTTCCACCTTCTGGCACAAAGATTTGGATAAGGGAAAACAATGGAAGGGCCGCACTATCTCTGGCAAGTGAAGACTAAGGATAGTCTTGTCCTAACTTTAGATGAGGGTAGTGTGGATGAGATCCCCTACGATCAGATTGAGTGGGGGTTAGAGGAGGAGGACAGCGGTGTGGGCCAGGGGAGGACTTACGCTGCTGTCGCGGCTGGAGGGAGGCCGCAAGGAGGACGAGGCCAGGGCCAAGGGGGCCAGGCCTCAGGGAGCCGGTTTCAGGGCGATCAAGGGGTTGGCGGCAGAGGAGGAAACCGCCAAGCGGGAGGCAGGGGTCAAGGTCCCCCGCAAAACCGTCCTAGGAATAGGTCTCCCTATAGGGTAGGAGGATGGCACCCGGGGCTACCACAGGGTAGACCTTGGGAAACTTTGGGTCTGGACCAGACTTTATGGCAACAACGATTGGACCGAGGCCAGTGCATTTTTTGCGGTGACCCGGGCCATATTATTAAATACTGTCCTAAGTATCGCGAGACCCGAACGGCTGCCCAAGGACCAAAAGGCAGCCGCCGGTAGGGGTAGCAGCTGCCCCTACCATTAGGCCATGTGGGGAACATAGCGCTAGCCGGCAGGAGACTCCCACACCACATGTGCCTATGGMAGAGGTTGCAGGCCGGTGTCTAGATAGCTGCCCAGAGACCGCTTGTATTAGGGTCTTTCTAGACACCTCCCTCACAGGCGTAGCCGAAGAGTTGAAGGAGAGGAGGCCTGCCTGGGCCAAGATGATGAAGGAGAATAAAGGGCAGCTGATCTTACTAGATATGGAGATTTTTAGAGGTAGAGTAGGGGCCCTAGTAGACTCAGGGGCCACCCACAACTATGTTAGTAAGAAAGCGCTGCAGAAGTTGAGGCTGGGACTTGAAGTCCAGAAATTGACAGACCCCATAGTTAGTATCCTCGCAGACAATCGTACCATGGTTGTAGAGGATTACGTAGAGGGAGTCCAGGCGTATTTCCGCCTAGAGAAAGATGGGAAAGTGGATCCCTGACTCTTCTCGTGGAAGACAACCTCCCATTTGATATTGTTCTGGGAATGGATTGGGGAGAGGCAGCAGGGGCCACGCTCCATTTGAAGGAGCACGAGTGTAGGTTCCCTAGTTCTTCAGGCGAGGCTAAGACTGCCCGCCTGTTTCACGTGTCAGGAGCAGAGAATCCACTGCCACATTGCTGCCTTAGTGCGCCTGCATTTGCCAGATTAGTAAAGAAGGAGAAACTGGAGGAACAGGTTTTTGTCGCCTATGTTAGGCCGGTGACTGAGCCTACAGAAGAAAAGCCGATGGACCCTACGATTGCCAAGCTGTTGGAAGAGTTCAAGGATCTAACTGAGCCGCCGATAGGAGTAGTACCGCGGCCCATCCAGCACCGCATTGAGATAGAGCCTGGCAGTAGAACTCCTAAGGGTGCTGTGTATAGGATGTCCCCATGGGAGTTAGAGGAGCTTCGCAAGCAATTAGAGAGCTGAGGATGTGCATAGACTATAGGGGTCTGAATGCTATTACAGTAAAGAATGTTGAGCCACTGCCTAGGATAGACGATCTCTTAGATTGAGTGTAGGGGGCGAAGTATTTTTCCAAGATAGATTTGAAGTCCGGATATCATCAGATAGAAGTGCATCCTGATGATCAGTATAAGACAGCCTTCCGGACTAGATATGGGCACTACTAGTTCATAGTGATGCCCTTTGGACTAACCAATGCGCCAGCTACATTCCAACGCTGTATGAACGATTTGTTTAGGCCGTGGTTAGACAAATTTGTTGTAGTTTACCTAGATGACATTCTAGTGTTTAGCAGGACCCTTGAAGAGCATCAGGGTCATCTCAGGCAGGTCTTGGAGAAGCTGAGGGAAGCTAACTTCAAGATCAATGCAAAGAAGTGCGATTGGGCGAAAACCCAAGTTTTGTACTTAGGCCACGTCCTAGACGGAGACGGCGTTAAGCCATAGGATAGCAAGATCGCAGCGATTAGAGATTGGCCCACGCCACGTACGCTAACAGAGTTGCGCTCGTTCCTGGCTTAGCTAATTACTACCGGAAGTTCGTGAGGAACTTCTCCACCATCGCTGCGCCCCTTCGCAGATTGTTGAGAAAGGAGACCATCTGGAAGTGGGATAAGGACTGCACGTCTGCCATGAAGAAGTTAAAGCAGGCATTGATAGAGTATCTAGTCCTTAAAGTCGCCGATCCGTCCTTGCCCTTTGTCGTCACGACCGATGCGAGTCAATACGGCATAGGCGCAGTGTTACAATAAGACGATGGCAATGGGTATAGACCCGTAGAGTTCATGTCCGCCAGAATGCCTTCAGAGAAGGTCGCGACATCTACCTATGAGAGGGAACTCTACGCTCTCAGGCAAGCCTTAGACCACTGGAAGCACTACTTGCTTGGGAGGCACTTCAAAGTCTATTCCGACCATGAAACGTTACGATGGTTAAAGACGCAGGCCAAGATGACACCTAAGCTTACTAGGTGGGCCGCAGAGATAGATCAGTACGACTTCGAGCTCAAGCCTGTCAAAGGGAAGTACAACGTAGTCGCGGATGCTCCGAGTAGAAGAGTTGATTACTTTGGGGCAATAGTACATTACCTCGATATAGGGAAGGATCTGCAGCAGAAGATTAGAGAAGCCTACGCGCAGGACCCTATCTACAGTGACCTCCTTAAGAAAGTCAAAGAGGCCCCAGAGACTGAACCGAACTACTGCACTACCGAGGGGTTGCTTTTTTAGAAGACTAATGTTTTTGACCGCCTGTGCATTCCCAGTAGGGAAGAGGTCCGTAGTTTGATTTCGGGAGAATGCCACGATACAGAGGGTCATTTTGGTTGGCAAAAGACTTTAGCCAATCTGATGCGCGCATATACCTGGCCAGGAATGAAGAATGACTGCGTAGAGTATGTTCGCAGTTGCAAAGTCTGCCAGCGTAATAAGAGTTCTACGCGCGCCCCGCTAGGTCTTCTCAGACCCTTGCCCATTCCGGATCAGCCGGGAGACTCAGTTTCCATAGACTTCATGGACACTCAAGTCAAGAGTAGGCATGGCAAGAGCCAAGTCATGGTCATAATTGACCGTTTTAGTAAGTACGCAGTTTTCGTTCCTTTGCCTTCAGAGGCACGTACTGATTTAGTCATACAGAGGTTTTTTGACTGTTGGGTGAGTGAGAATGGAATCCCACTATCAATAGTTAGCGATAGAGATAGTCGTTCTACCAGCCAGAACTGGCAAGAACTCATGGGAGTATATGGATCTAAGTTGTTGATGTCGTCCGGCCGCCATCCGGAGACTAACGGTCAGACCGAGCAAATGAACAAGATCCTACAGCAAGTTCTGCGCATGTACATTAGGGCAGATCAGATTAACTGGGATGAGATGCTGCCTAAAGTAGCTAGTGCGTACAACAACAGCGTGCATCTGTCTACTTGTCGCACTCCCAACGAACTGCACAAGTCCTTTAGGCCCCGTAGACCCTTTGAAGGACTCAACCGGGATCAGATTCATAGGTTGCCGCCTGGGACCAGGGAGTTTGCTGTACAGCACGAGAAAGAACTAGCTACTGTTGTAGAGAACCTCAGGAAAGCCCAGCATAGGACGATAGAGCAAGCGAACAAACATCGTCGCCCTTCACAGTTCCAAGTAGGCGACTTAGTCTGGGTCAGTTCTAAGGAGTTTGCACCTGAGGAGAACATCTCGCAGAAGTTACTGCCCACATATAGAGGACCGTGGCCCGTTCTAGAAGTCAAGGGCGGCGAAGATGGACCGTCCTATACCATAGAACTTCCAGCACACCTCCACACTTGCCCAGTTTTCCATGCATCGAAGTTGTTACCTTGTCAAACAAGTGATCAGTTCCCATCCCGTAGATCAATGATCCCACCGGATATGGATGGAAGATACGACATCGATGGTATAGTGGCTGAAGATGTCTTTAGAACTGGAGGTAGGGGTCGTCCGCAGAAACAGTACAAGGTTCATTTCAGTTATCAAGAACCGGAAGATGACCGCTGGCTTACAAGATCTGAACTTCTGGAGACAGCTCCCGATATAGTCCGGGCCTACGAAAGACAGCAAAGGGGTAAAGGTCCTGCCTTGGACTGAAATTTTCTCGGAGGACCTCGAATTTAGGCCGGCGGGAGTGAAACGGTATTCACCAGTTCGCAGTAGCGAATGCAGATCCCAGGGCTCGATCCCTAGTTCCCCATCTTACCTGTGTACAGTATTGATGTCAACCCGTAGATTTGAACCTGCGACCTGTAGGATTGCCAGTGGTAGGTAGACTTTCGTAGGTCACAGGGTTGGAGGGATTCGAACTGTAGACTTGTAGGGTAGGAGTCTAAAGAGTTCAGAGGTCGTAGCTGTAGACTGCCTGAAGAGTCAAGGTCGTAGCTGCTACTTACCTGAAAGGGCAAAGTCGTAGCTGCTACAGAACCGAAAGGCCAAGTTAGAGATTTCTAGAAGTGGCCTTTCGGAGTTAGCCTGCGTTCAGCAGAGGCAAGTGGCCAAGTGGTGGTAGTCCACCTAGTACAGTCAGCAGTCCCAGTTAACCCAGTCCGGTCCAGTCATGCAAGTACCGTCTGGGACTGTGCACATCGTGGGCCAAGGGATACAGGGCAGACCAACGTAGCGCAGAAGTATAAATCAAGAGGCTGCGCCCAGCCATTCATTCATTCCTGCGGAAGCCATGCGGAAGCGCTGCCTCAGCAGCTTGTGCAAGGAGGTCTGCAGAAGGCCCGAAGACGAAGACGGCGAGAGTGACATACTGTAGCCATAGCAGTAGGGTAGCGGCGGCCATAGCCGCCATAGCTGTAGCTTAAGGGGAAGAGTGTGTGTACTGTGTGTGTGTACTGGGTATCGCGTGTGGGACATCCAGGGTGATCCAGAGT